CTTTGCATGGAGCAGGTGCTTAATAGAAGTTTAAGTTCTATTGTAGAATCTGCCTCTGGCCCTGGGCTGGGCAAGTTTCTCCAGAGCCCCTGTGGCCCCGTCACTGGCAGGCCACAACTTCTCACATATCCTCCCCTTTATTTGTGGGTTGGAGGAGGCCAAGTTTGGCAGTGGGTAAGAACTTGAATTTCAGTCTTGATTCTGCCATTTCCTGGCTTTGTGACCTTGAGAAAGTCAGTTCTCCTCTCAGCCTCAGTTTCCTCAGCTTAAAACAAAGGGGTAGGGATGACAAGTCTGTTGGGGGCTTGGCAGGATTAACCGAAATGGTATGTGTAAATACAGAGATCTGATCTTCGCAACGAATAAATGGTCAATAAATGATTAGAATTCATTATTTTTTTAGTTAATGGGTATTATCATTGGTGTTTCGGTAGACTGCTACTGTGTTTTGAGCATCATGCTGGAGGTGGGGTGAGAGAGAGAGGCAGACAGACAGACAGACAGATGACAGACAGAGAGAGTGACAGAAAAATCATTGCAGGAGTTCCTTGGTCTCCGGAGTCTTAAGGCCAAGTAAGGGCTGCAAGACTCTCCTAGGAGGAGTGGCATCTGGAAGAGACATGGCTAAGTGAGTTGAGGCAGGGAGACAAGCGTTTGTTTTGTGGGTAAAGGAGGTGAGTTCCAGCCTAGAGATAGGGAAGCGGGGCATGTAGTTTGAGAGTTGAAGGAAGGATGCAGGAAAGCAGAGAGAAAGCAGAGACAGCTCTAGTATCTCCACATAGCATGGGGTTTAGGGTCAGCACCCCAAAAGGAGGGGGAGCTTCAAGCTTTGTTTTGCTAAGAAGAATCTGGAGGACTGATGGCTCATGATGCCACTACTGAGAACCAGAGGGGGCGGGGGCGGGGAGGGAGGACTGGAAAGTTAGGGCTTTATGGTGGAGGTAGTGGGGACCAGTGAGCAAGGAGGGCCTTTGTCCCTCTCTGCCCAGGCTTGAGCTGAGAATGGTCAGGGGTGGGCTGCAGCTCCAGGCCTCTGCAGGCTTACCACGGAGTTTATCCCATAATAATAGGGCCATATGTTTACCTGGCCAAGGTTGAGATGAACTCTGCTCTGTCTGAAGTAACAGTGCAGTTTGATCTCAGAAATGTCAGAAATTTTAAATATCAGAGGCAGCCAGCAGGAGAAGCCATCTCCTGATCCACCCTCCTCATCTTCCCCCACCCCCCGACATTACACAACTGGGAAACAGGCCCAGAAGGGGAAACCCCTACCCCCCGCCCTCTTGCCCAGGAACACCAGTGAACTGGCCACATTGAGTTCAACTCCATCCCCCAGCAAGCTGTGGACCTAGGCCTGTGTTAGGGGTTGGGGGAAAAGGGTGAGGAGGGGGCCTGGGAACCCAAGGAGGCATGTAAATGACAAGCAAATGTCATTTACAGATTGGGAGCAGTCTGTTACAAGGGTGTAGTGTGTGTGATCCCAGGTGAGTGGGCTGTGAGTGGGCTGGAGCCATTATCATTCTAGGCTTTCCTTCCCAGAAAAGAAAAAGGGCCACATAGGTGGGGCCAGAGGAATACTGGGATGTGAGGAAGTTCAGGGGCCTGAGAAGAGGAGGGTGTTGCCGAGCAGCCAGAGACACAACTGTATTACAGTGGCACAGAGCATCCCAGCATCTGCGAACCTGGCTCTGTGTAGCTTTGTATAGGGTACCATAGTGGTATCACCCTCATTTTATGGGGGAAGAACGAGGGCTCCAAAGATCACAGCTAGAAAGGGCAGACCCTGGATGGGTGACTTCAAAGCCACGTTCCTGGCATGCCCTGGGTGGCTGCCGTCCCAGTCCTCAGCCCAGCTCAGTCTCTGTGAAGAGTTGGAGTCAAAAGGGTCAAGGAGGTAGGTACCCAGCCCGGGGCAAGCCACCTTGTGCCTTCCTGCACTTCTCCATCAGTCTGCCCATCTATCTGACCTGTTTTCACCCTGCCCCCTTGTTCGTTAATAAGAAATATTTACTGAGCACCTACTATGTGCCAGGTGACTGCCCTTGACCTTGTGGAGCTTATGCCTTAGCATGAGGGCCGTCCCTCATTGGTGGGATATGCTGAGAAGGAGCAGGTGAGGGGTTTCACTAGCTACCTCTTTCTCCCTTCACAGCTTTTATCTCTTTCTCTTTCTGCCCCCTTCCAAGTCCCCTTACCCCCTCTGATCGGGCTTTTTGCTGGGACTGCCTCCTGCTG